ATCAGCCTGGCCTCGGGCTCTGGGCCCAATCCGATATCCATGCATGACCCCCCCTCGCCAGCCCCCTCTCCCACCCCCACCATCTTCAAAGCCAAGGACCTGGCAGTGGTTCTGAAAGCTGGGCAGAGTCTCCATGCCATGGCTTGGCATGGAACTCAAAGGCTCAATTAGCAACATCTGCTCTTGTGGGCTGTAAAACCCTCTCACTGCTCCCCTCCCTTGCTCCGAGCACTCACAGCTGGGAGCAGCATGGGGCTGCAGCCAGCCCGGCCAGGGGAGCTGTGCCCCTGGCTCACAGCTGTCATAGCTTGCTGTGCCATCTCTGCCACCGTGCCACCTCTGCCACTGCTCTCCAGACCCCTGAGATCCACGGCCTGATGGCAGCTGAGTGTGAGGGATGAGGAGTGAGCTCTTCTCTCTGGTGAGCAGGGAATGGCTGGAGCTGTGTCAGGGAGGGTAAGGCTGGATATTAGGAAAAGGTTCTTCCCCTAGACAGAGGGGTCTGGAGAACTGAGTGGCTGGGAGTGCTCAGGAGAAAAGGAGGTTCAGGGGAGACCTTCTCCACAACTCCATGACAGCAGGGAGCAGTCAGGGGGGATTGGGCTCTACTCCCAAGGAACAGGGACAGGATGAGAGGGAACAGCCTCAAACTGCACCAGAGGAGGTTCAAGCTGGACATGAGGAGGAATTTCTTCATGGAAAGAGTGGCCAGGCATTGGAAGGGGCTTCCCAGGGAAGTGGTGGATTCCTCATCCCTGGAAGTGTCTGAGGAAGGACTGGATGTGCCACTGAGTGCTCTGGGCTTGTTGACCAGATGGAGATCGGTCAAAGGTTGGACATGATGACCTTGGAAGACTTTTCCAACCTCAATGATCCCATGATTCTATGAAAACCAGCCCATGGCCTGGAGGCTGGCTGAGAGCCCCCGCCAGCACCCATTGTTCGGGAGCTGAAGCAATCGGAGCCCTTTCCCGAGGAGCCTGGCGGGCCGGGCCGGGCTGTCCCGGGAGGGCTGTATAGCAGCAGGGCTGGACACTGCTGTCATCATTCCACGGATGCCTCCAAACGCAGCCAAGTGGGGCCACACGAGGCCACCAAGGTCGGGAGGGCACAGAGCCAGCCTGGAATGGGATTTGTGAATGGGAGCGGGACAGGCAGTGCCAATGGGGTGAGACTGTGGGGCACCCTCTGGAGAGGGGGTCCCTGAGCCCCCACTTGGAGGCAGCCTGGTGCCAGGAGGGGACAAGGGAGTCCCATGGCAGCACTGATGTCTGACACTGGGCACCAAGCACTTCCCCGCCTTTCCTAGCCTCATTCCAAGAATGTCCAGTATGTCCACTCCTTCCCCACATTTTGGCCATTAGATCTGATTATCCTTGATTTACTTGCTGTCTGGGGAGCTCTCAGAGCCTCTCCCTCTGTACGAAGCAAGCTCAGCTGCATTCTGGCTGCAGCAAAACACCTCACCCTGGGGACGTCCCTTGGGAGATTCCCCAAAACACCAGTGCCCTCCTCAGCTGGCGGTGTCCCTCAACTCCTGCCTGGGAGCTGGGGGACAGCAGGGCTTCCCAGAACTGTCACCCAATGACAAACAAAGGATGTGATCACAATCCCATAAAAACACATTATTGAAGCTCTTTGCCAAGGCCAGGCTTATCTGGTGCAGTGGGTGATGAGAAAACACCTTGTGCTTACGGTGACTTCCTCCCTACTTATCCCCACCAAGGATCTGCCTCACAGGTAATCATGGAAACTCCAAATTCCCCAGGCAGTTGTCCCAAGGATTGAGTCAGAAGCTGGCAGAGATGCCTCTCCCACCTGAGGAACCAGGACTTGAGCGCCAGCCTGTCCATATCTGTTTGGAGTGACAAATCCATCCATAAACCACATTTTCCTTGGAATACCAGCAGTAAAACATCCACACAACACTGTCCTTAGTACACCAGCAGCAGCAGTAGAGGGAGAGAAGCCAGAGGAGGGCTGAGCAAAGCTGTTATCTCCTGAAGGGTCATGTGTGAGCCGCCGGTTTTGCAAGCAGTGGGAGGAGCAGATAATATTTTCCCAGGCAGAGGAAACTGCTGGGTGAAAATAGCGCTGTGCCCTGGAAACGGAGCCATCAGCAAATAGGGCTGGTGCAGCCTCATCTCAGCAGGTAATGCTGAGCTGGGCACAGGCTCTGTGGTGGATGAACTGCTCCCGACGGGAATGGGAGAGATGAGCTCCCCCCGTGGCCCTGTGGGAGCACAGGGGAGCCGAGCTCAGGGACAGGTAGAGTGTTCCTGCACAGTGGCTCTCTGGGACACCCTCTCCATGCCCTCTCTCTCAGTTTCATGCAGTCCCAGGTACATAAAAGGACCAGGAGTGCTGGAACAGGAAGAAAGCTGAGTCCTCAGGCTGGGGAAGAAAGCTGATAAAGGAAGGGAACAAATGGAGCTTTGCGGGGATGGACAGGAAATAAGAGAGAAAGGACAGCAGGGCTCAGTGTCCCATAATTAATGGGGTGCACAAGGCTTGGAGGGGCCCTGTTACTGTCTCAGCTCTTCCTAGACCAGGACACGACAGAGCTGATCTCCTGTCTACAACGCTCCCTCTGAGACGTGGAGTGATGGGACAAGGGGGAATGGCTTTAAACTAAAGAGAAGGGAACTTTACATGGGATATTGGGAAGAAATTCTTCCCTGTGAGGGTGCTAAAGTGGGGAAGCCCTGGCACAGGTTGTCCAGAAAAGCTGGGGCTGCTCCTGGGTCCCTGGAAGTGTCCAAGGCCAGGTTGGACAGGGCTTGGAGCACCCTGGGATAGTGGGAGGTGTCATGCCCATGGCAGGGGATGGGCATGGTGATGTTTAAAAGTCCCTTCCCACCCAAACCATCCAGTGATTCCTCAAACCCTGGTCTGATCCTGTGCAAACAGGCACAGACATTCCTGGGAAAGAAATCCACCAGAGGAACTGCAGAGCTGCAGGAACAGCGCTCTCACCTATTCCAGCATCTCCTCCCGGCGGGGCCGTGGCTATGCTGGAGCTGCAGGAAGGGATGTGGTGGGAAATCCAGAGGGAGCAGCCCCTGAGGGAATCACAGGTGTCTGTGCCACGGCTCAGAAGAGCTGAGCCTCCAGCCTGTGTTGCAGATCCTTATATCACTCCCCGTGATGTTCAACATTTGTTCGTTCCGGCTGTAAAACCTCTCCTGGCTCCGCACCAGGTATTTTCCTCCCTCAGTGCCTCAGCCAGGGCCGAGCTGTTGGAGCGTGAGCAGCTCACACACCACAGCCTTTGTGAGTAATGGCACCAGCTGAGGTGACAGCCCCTCCACCAGAGCCCCTTTCCCAAGCTGTCCTCACAGGTTAGGATGGTAAACAGGAGAAGGATAAAGCCTCCAGGGTCCCTGTGCCTGCAGGATCCCACTCTCCTGAGGGCGCTTGGGTAACCTAGCTCCAGCACTCCATGGCCTCGAAGGAACTGGTTCACTTTGGGACAGAGCTTGAGGTAAACCCCAGGAATAGAAACACCTGAACCCCACAATTCCCACAGCCAGGGTAGTGCCCGAGGCTGAGGGTGGCTTTGTGGATGGAGAAGGACCCTCCAAGCAGGCTCTGCCCTCTGTTCTGTGTATACTGGGGTTTCATGTCCATGGAATTATGGAATCATTTAAGCTGGAGCGGCTCCCAGAGACTGTTGAGTCCAGCTATCACCCCCCGCACCACCAATGCCACCACTAATCCATATTCCCAAGTGCCGCATCCACTTTATTTTGACCACTTCCAGGGACGGTGACTTCATTGCTTCCCTTGGCGTCTGTTTCAATGTCTGACCACCTTTTCAGTGAAGAATTTTTCCCTAATATCCCACCTAAACCTCCACTGGTGCAACTTGTGGCTATTTCCTCTCACCCTGTCTGTTGTTCCCTGGGGGCAGAGCCCGATCCCCCCGGCTGCCTCTTCTGTCAGGGAGTTGCGCAGAGCCAGAAGGTCCCTCCTGAGCCTCCTTTCCTCCAGGCTGAGCCCCCACAGTTCCCTCAGCTTCTCTTTATTTTCCACTCCCAGAGACCTGATGGTCTCTCTGGGTTTAGCCATGCCATGAACCCCCTAACAGGGGTTTAGGGACATGAATAAGGGACGTCCCTGGAAGATGCTTTTGCTGTCTGGTGACATCTCTCTCCCAGTCAAGCAGAAATGGAATCATCGGGGGCTCTTTGTGGGGCTGAGGGTGCGAGGGCAGTGAGGGGACAGCAGGCTCTGCTCTCAGGGGACAGCACGGTGTGCGTGGCTGCTGCTGGAGCCCCCGCGGCCCCTCTCCACCGGGACCTGTTGACACCGGGGATGTGGCAGGGACCAGTCCGTGAGGGTGAGGATGGAGGCGAGGATGAGGACTCAAGTGAGGGTGAGGTGAGGGTTAGGATGAGTATGAGTGTGAAGATGATGGCAAAGCTGAGGACGAGGATGACCGTGGGGGTGAAGTGGCGGCGAGGATGAGGGATGAGGAAGAGGGTGAGACCGAGGGTGCGGATGAGGTGCTGATGAGGGTGCAGGTGACGCTCAGCGCGGGGTGAGGACGGGGCAGAGCGCGGAGCCGCGGCCGGGGCTGTGGCGGGTGTGCGGGGGTGTCCCGGCCGGGCCGGGCCGAGCGGAGCTGTCCTTCAGCACCTCGGCAGCGCCGGCCGGGCCGGGCCGCGGCCGTGCCGGTGCCGGCGGAGCGGAGGCAGCGCGCAGGCGCAGCGCTCGCGGCTCCTCAAGGTGTTGGCGGCGCGGCCGAAGATGGCGACAGACTGAGGGCGATGGGGCCGGGCGGCGGCGGCGGCGGGCGCGGCGCGGCCCCGGCACCGCGCCGGGGCAAGCGGAAAGCCGAGTGAGGGCGGCCGGGGCATGCCCGGGGCCGGGGCCGGGGCCGGGGCGGGCGGCGGCGGCGGGGCGCGGCGGGGGCGGCGCGGGCATGGCGGCGGCGCGGGGCAGGTGACAGCGGCGGCAGCGCGGCGCTGCCCGCCCGCCGCCCGCGCGCCCCCGGCATGATCCGCGGCGCCTGGATGTCCCCCCGCGGGGGCGCCGCCGGCGGGGCCGTGTGCTGCGCGCCGCGCCGCAGCGACAAGCCGGTGGCCGACCCCGAGCGGGCGCAGAAATGGCGCCTGTCGCTCGCCTCGCTCCTCTTCTTCACCGTGCTCCTCTCCGACCATCTGTGGCTCTGCGCCGGGGCCAAGCTGCGGGCGCGGGAGCGGCCGCGGGGCCGCGGGCCGCGGGCGCTG